TCGTGGCTCGTCTCCAGAAACTGGGTGCCGATCAAACGGCCCAAAACACCCTGATTCAAGCCAAACTGCTACTCACAGAGCCTCTTCGCTGGCCATACATGCAGTGGAACGCAGAGAAGAAATGTCACGAGGCGACCGGGAAAACGGCCCTCCAACACGACCGAGTGATTGCCGCGGCTCAGCTGCTAACGGAGCACATTGTGAAGGACGGAGTAATACACGCATTTCATGCGAGAGGCGGACTCTCAACGGACAGAGAGGACACCACGATCTTCAAGCTCACGCTGTCCTTGGATTGCCCGAACAAGGAGAAGATCCGCGAGGCACTACATGCACTGGCGGACTCGGCGTCTCTCAGACTGATCGGGGCAAGATTAAGACCGGAAAGAAGTCACAGACGGCTCCCAAAAGACCTGGCAAAGATGCTGAAAGACGAGAGCTAAATCGGCAGTCAGGCGAAGGGTCCAGGGAGGGTCGAGACACCGCACAGTCCCAGGGGAAGCCGTGTACGGCCCCCAGGCAGACAATTTTTGGCAAGGGCATTGTCAAAACCCTTGAAACCCTTCCTGAAGGGGTCAATCAGGAAGACCTGAGTCGAAATGATCGAAAAAGGGAGAAGCCGTCACTCGGCCCCAACTCAGGCAAAGGTCATGACTAACTCAGGCAAAGGTCATGACTCACCTGGGGATCCGCAGGGGAAGCTGTGGAGCTGGTTTTGCACAGGGAGTGCAACAACATCGCAGACATCCAACTCAGTGGCCAGAACTGAGCAAAGAGCGTCGTATGCGTTGTCCTGTGACCTCACCCCCCTCCATGACCCCCCTGCCCTGGCTCTTGCTAACCCCAGTAATCTGTGCTACCTGAACTCCCTCACCCAGGCCCTCATGTGGATTTATGCCGCCAGGACCTCAGATCGGAGTAGGACCTTTGGGGACATGCACCCACTTCTGAAGCCCTTGCTAAGCCCGGCAGGCACAGTCCAGCTGCATCGCAGAAAGGCGTGGCTGACGCTTTTGCAAGGCTGGCAGCATTTGCACCAGCTTGTAGCACACGCAAACATCCCCTGCCTGCAAGGGAATTGGGAAGCCCGTCTGAACGACGGGCCCCACATCAGAGTGCACCAACAGGTGGGTTCTGTACCTTTAATTACCCTGCCTTGTGAACAGGATAAAGACCTGCAAAAGCTGATAGAGGATTGGGCGTACGAGCAAGACACCGGTCACATATCGGGGCTTGCGGAGCCCCCCGACATCCTTAGCATTCAGCTCATGCGCTTCAGTGTAGGACGAGGTGGGGAAGTTCACAAACTGGAGCATCGCACTGAGCTGCCGGCTCGCCTGCAGGTCCCAAGTTTTGAGGATGGCCTCAACCTTCAGCCTGTGGCCTACGAGCTCAAATCAGCCGTGTGTCACCTTGGAAGCACCCCAAACTCAGGTCATTACAAGACCATGGGGGTAGCGGCCCCAATTGGGATGCCGACGGACGGGTACATTGACGGCTTGCACAGAGCACTACAAGGGGAAGCCGCACATCCGGCCCTCTTTGTACAGAATGACGAATCCTCTGC